GAGGAGGGAGGATGGAGGAGGAGGAGGAGGATGGAGGAGGAGGAAGAGGATGGAGAAGGAGGAAGAGGAGGGAGGATGGAGGAGGGAGGATGGAGGAGGAGGAGGATGGAGGAGGAAGAGGAGGGAGGATGGAGGAGGAGGATGGAGAAGGAGGAGGTGGATGATGGAGGAAGAGGATGGAGGGAGGTGATGGGGGAGGCAGGAGGAGGGATAGGAGAGAGAAAGAATGGAAAGGGGACAGATGGAGAGGGATGGGCGTGGGGCAGGCTGCTGAGTGCTGGCACCCCCCTTACCCTCTGTCCTGCTGTCCTTTGCAGCTAAGTACCCAGCTATCAAGACCCTGATGCGGCCGGACCCCAACCTCAAGTGGGCAGTGTCGGCGCTGGTGCTGGCGCAGCTGCTGGCCAGTTACTTGGTACGTGGCCTGGCCTGGCGCTGGCTGCTCTTCTGGGCCTATGCCTTTGGAGGCTGCGTCAACCACTCGCTGACCCTGGCCATCCACGACATCTCACACAACACAGCCTTTGGCACAACCCGTTCCAGCCACAACCGCTGGTTTGCCATATTTGCGAACCTGCCCATTGGTGTGCCCTACTCGGCGTCCTTCAAGAAGTATCACATAGACCACCATCGCTACCTGGGGGGAGATGGGCTGGACGTGGATGTGCCCACACGCCTTGAGGGCTGGCTCTTCTGCACACCGGCCCGCAAGCTGCTCTGGTTGGCTCTGCAGCCTTTCCTCTACACGCTGAGGCCACTCTGCGTGCATCCCAAGGCCCTGACCCGCATGGAAGTGCTCAACACCCTGGTGCAGCTGGCCGTGGACACCATCATCTTCAGCCTCTGGGGGCTCAAGCCCATCGCCTACCTGCTGGCCAGCTCCCTGCTGGGCATGGGCCTGCACCCCATCTCGGGCCATTTTGTGGCTGAACACTACATGTTCTTCAAGGGCCATGAGACCTACTCCTACTACGGGCCGCTCAACTGGATCACGTTCAACGTGGGCTACCATGTGGAGCACCACGACTTCCCCAGCATCCCTAGCTGCAACCTGCCCCTGGTACGGGCGAGTGGGGCGTCCTTCTGGCTTCTGGTGCTGCACATGTGTACATGTACTGGTCTGTGTACAGGCACCTACATGTATGTTTGCACACCTGTGCTCACGTGAGCAGGTGTTTGTATGGGAAGGTTTGTCTGCTCCCATGTTTGTTCTAGTACATGCGTGAGCATATGAGCATGCATCCCATGTGTATATTCGTGCACATGTGTACAAATGCCTGCATGGGGCACCGCTCCCTGATGTGTGTACCAGCAAGAGTGGAGGTTCATATGAGAAGCAGCTGGATTCTTAGAGATGGTTTCTCTTGTCTTGGTGAGGGTCAGGTGTGGACTGTTTGGGTTTTTGATTTCGTTCACAATCAGGTGTGAGCTGATTGGATTTGCTGGATTTAGCTAACAATGAGCTGTGAGCTGGAAGCCTTTTGGCTTAGAGTCAACCAGGACCTGGTGGGTAGACCTTCTATTTAAAAGGTGATTGGGCCCCACTAAGTTTACAATTTGGAGGCTCATGTGTGAAGCTGTTGGATTCTGGAAGATGGTTTTTCTTGTCTTGAGGGTCAGGTGTGGACTATTTGGTTATTTTTTCCCCCCTTCACAATCAGGTGTGAGTTGACTGGATTTGCCAGATTTAGCTAACAATGAACTGTGGGCTGGTAGCCTGTTGGTTTAGTGTCAACCAGGACCTGTGGGTGGGCCTTGTATCTAAAAGGCAGTAGGGCTTTTGGGCCTGCAGCCTTTAGGCCTGGTGTTAATTGTGTTTGGGATGAACATTCTTCTAAGTGGTACAGCACTGGTCTGTCAATTTGCTGCACTGAAGTAACTTGGGGTTGCTGTGATGCTGAATGCGGTACCACTGATGTGTCAAACGCCATAATGGTTACCTATCATGGACAGTGTGTGGTGGAGCTCCCAGACTGATTCAGGTTTGGAAGCAGGATTGGCATCCACTTCCTAAAACACATGCCTCTGGAAACTCTATGAACACAGAGAAATGATGATAGTTATAGAACAGGGTTCAGATCTTTTGTTCATAGCGTTGCTATGAGTCGTGCTTGACTCAACGGCACTTAACAACAGCAGCAACAACAGCACGTGCAGACACATTAGCATGTCTGTGTGTACACTAGTAGGTGTGCATGCATCTACATGTATGTTTGCACATGTGCACATGTATGCAGATGCCTGCATAAGAAGGGTTGTGTGTGTACACATTAGCAGGTCTGTGTGTACTCCACATCCATGTGTGCATGGGCATGTGCCCTGGGGTGTCACCCACGTCCATGTGCCTGGCTGGGCCCCTCCTCCCCAGACAGTCCTGAGGCAGGGGCTTCATCCTCCTACTTTGTAGATGAGAAGGCAGAGGCTGGGGTGGCCGAGGTGCTCATGAGGACAGCGCCAGAGTCCAAGCTGGGCTAGGTGCAGACTTGCCGTCAGCCAGGAGCATGCCTATCGTGCCCTCCTCTCACTCAGCCTTGGTGTCAGCTGTAGAGGGACCTAGGAACCCGGCACAGAGGAGGCTGAGGGTCGGGGTGGCTTCAGGGGTGAGTCCAGAGCGCTTCCTGATGGGTGACAGAGGGAGGTGACAGTGATAAGACTGCAGAACCTGGGTCAGTGGGGCTCCAGCCAGCTGCTCTGGCCAGTAGCACTTTGGCTCTGGGACATGCCAGAATCTCCCAGGTCAGCACTCCAAGGTACACTGAGGAGGGGCAGGACTGCTGGTGTCCCCTTGTCCCACGGTCCTATGCTCTACTGGAAAGGCACTAGTCAGGCTGTTGGGGTGGGGGTGGGGATTGGTGGGCGGAGCACTTAGGTTGGTGGGTGGAGCCTTCCGGTTAGAGGGTGAGGCCATGGGGTGTAGGTTGGTGGGCAGGGCCCTTGAGTTGGTTGGTTGGGCCTTCAGATTGGTGGGAGGAGACCTCTGGTCGGGGGGCGGAGCCATGAGTTTGTGGGCGGAGCCATGAGGCTGGTGGGCGGAACCCTCAAGTTGAGGGGTGAGGCTCTCTGGCTGGTGGCTGGGTCCCTGGGCTCTGTGGGCCCCTGTCCTTGGACTGGTGAGCTGGTATGTGAAGTTGGTGGGTGGGGCCCTTGGATTGAAGGGCAGGTCAGTGAGATTTGTGGGCAGAGCCCTCGGGTCAGTGGGTGGGGCCCTCGGATGCGCTGACCAGCCTGTCCTCCTGCAGGTCCGGAAGATCGCCCCTGAGTACTATGACCACCTGCCCCAGCATCACTCCTGGATGAAGGTGCTCTGGGACTTCGTGTTCAAGGACTCGCTGGGGCCCTATGCCCGGGTGAAGCGCGTGTGCAAGCTGGCGGAGGACAGGCTGTGACGGGTCCCCTCCCGGCCTGGCTCCCAGAACTGATCCGGCCACACGGTCCCCGTGTCCCTGGGGCTGCACCGACCGATGTCCTGGCCGAGGCCACCCTGCTGCGAGGGGCTCTGCAGCGTCAAGGGCTGGGGGGCTCTTGCTCCGGCTCCACATTAAACCCCACACTTGTTTCCACATCCCGGCAGTGCTGAGAAAAGGCCTGGACCCAAGACCCCAGAGCATGGGGACAGTGGCCCCTCCTGCCCTGGGGAGATGGCCTTCACACACTTGCCCCACAGAAGCCCCTCACTGCCAGCTGTGTCCCCCACCTCCCAGCTGTGAGTCCTTCCTCGTGCTGCTCTGCCCTGTCCTCTCCTGGGCACCTTGGCTGGACCACCTGCGCTCCACCTGAGTCCTCACTTCCCCATTAGTCTCCCGACCTGGATGGCGAGGGCTCTGTTAAGGGCCACCACCCCTTCCCCAAAGCAGCACCCCTTCCTGTGGGGACACAGGGGGGGCTTCTCAGATCGGGTATCAGCGGTCAGGTAGATGGATGGTGGCCAGTGACAGGCAGAAGCTCTGAGGACCTGGTCCTGAGGGAGCAGCTGTCTGCACACCCTCTGGTTCCAGGAGAGCTGGGCTGGGGGCACTAGGTCTGGTCTCAGAGAGGCTGACGGAGCGGTGAGGACAGGTCTCTTTGCCAGAGAGGACCAGCACTGGCAATAGAGACTGAGGCCCGATGACCCCTGCCGGGTGGGCTTCCTGCTCCCCTGGCCTAGCAGCAGGATGGATGGGAGCCATGTGCTGCTGACGTGGGGCCTTTGCCCGTGCCAGGCACCCCTGTCCCCAAGCTGTCGGGGAGCCCCGAGCAGGAGCAGCGAGGTCTCGGAAAGACTTTGAACCTGGCCCCTCCTTGTGCACACAGGAGACCTCACATCTCCGCCTTTGGTCTCATATCTCTGAGTCTCCCCAAACACACCTGGAAGGGGGCCCCCTGGGACACCCAGTCAGAGGACCCAGGCAGGACTAGCACATTCCAGGGAGGGGGTCTGAGCAGGGCTGGGATTGTCAGCGGGACAGCACGGCTGGAACCTGTGGCTGGGCCGCTGAGTCCCAGGACCCAGGGTCCACATGGCCTGTTTGCTGGTGACAGGCGAGCTGTCTGGTGCAGGGTGACAGGCTGGAGTGAGGGTGAGGTGGGATCAGGTGAAGGTTCCTGAGGACTCAGGTAGAGCAGGAGCCCTGAGCCCCCATCCCTGCCCCGCGGGGGCAGTGTGACATCGGACCATCACCAGCTGTCACCACAGACATGCATGAATTCCCTTGCAGCCCTGGGGTCCCCTGGGAGCTGAGGCTTCCGCCTGGGGCATCCACCAAAGTGATGCTTGCCTGCCAGCCCACCCGACATGGTTCCAGTGCTCCAGATGTGTCCTCCCACCAGTGACCACAAGGAGCGAGAGCCGAGGCTTGAGGAGTGGACAGTGAAGTTTATTACCATGTGAACACAGACACCGTGCGGCCGGCCGGTGGATGGGCCCTGGGGAAGGACCGCATCCGGACAGCTCTGCGCTGTGTGGGCAGCGCGTCTGCTAGGAGCAAACTCGAAACATCTAATGAGGCGTGTGACCTGGCTTCCTTCTAGAAACCAAACAGAATGTACACTTAAATAAGCAATATAAAATACAAAAGACAAGGAGGCCTGTTGCTGCGTCAGGTAGAATCTAAAAAATCCAGGCGTTGGACTGTTTCCTCGTTCGGAATATTTATCACAGGTTCGCATTTCTGCAGTGTGTCCGCTTGTGTGCGCTCGGCGAGGTGGGGCTGCGCACTGTCCCTCGGCGTCAGGGGACCCCTCCTTGGCGGTGGCGGGACCCCGGTTATGTGGTGCTGATCCCACTGAGCTCTTGCCTGATTGCTAGGGACAGATGGGGGACAGGGCTCAGGGGCAGCAGGGGCAGCCCACCCGCTCATGGGTGGCCATGGAGACAGGCACTGTGCTGGGGACACTGTCTTATCACCAGACACTAGGGACAGACAGACACCATGGTGGGGACACAGAGACAGACACCTTGGGGTTGAGACAGGCAGTATAGCGTGGGGACAGACAGACACTGTGGTGGAACACTGTGGGGTGGGGACACTGCCAGGCTCAGCCCTGTTGAGGGCTGTCTCCCTCACGTGGTCTTCTGAGGTGCTCCACGCCCCCTCCAGGCTCGCGTGGTCTACATGCAGCTCCTGATACAGCGCTGAGTGTGGCCGGCTGTCCGCCCTCCTCCCTCCTGGGACTTCTCCCTGTGAGCACCCTGTGCCCGCCTCATCTGAACCCCGAGAACTGCTCCTCATGAGGCCTGCTGCTGCTTGTACCCTCACTCTGCCTCATCAGCTCTGCCTTCCCCAGGGCACCCCGATCTGGCCTGACCCTGTTTGGTCTGGAGGCCACTGGCTCTGATGCCTCTGTGATCCGTTTCCCTACAGGCCCATGCCTGGGAGCAGCTGCCACTGTAGCCACTGCTGCAGACATGGAAGTGACGAAGAGGAGGCTGGAGAGGGGAGGTCCCTGGCCTGGCCGCTGCAGAGGGCCTGGCGGGGGATGACCACCCAGCAGAGTTAAAAGCTGGCCTGGGTGTTGGTCTCTGGGCTCCAAGGCTGCCCGTCTTCTTTCATGAAGTTATCTCCCCAGCCCAGCCCTCCAGAGGGCCCTGAACAAACAGGAACCCAGTTCTCTGGCCAGATCGGGTGTGATCTGTCCCCTGGGAGCCTCAGGAACACAGGCCCTGCCCCGGCTGGCCAGGAGGAGTCAGGTGCAGGTGTCCGCCCCCTCCGCATTGGCTGCAGCCCCTCTGCTGCCCCAGGAGTGGCCCTTCTCGCAGGCACTGGATGCCCAGGCCCATAGGTTGCTGGGAGTTGTGTCCTTTGAACTGCTGGCCCTTCCCTTTCCTCTGGCTCCAGATCTGAGCCACTCCATCAAGGCCTGGGGACAGGAAGGACAGGCGTGCCTCCCTGGGATGAGGCCCCTGGCCTGGGCGCCCTTCCTAGCTCTGCTCTGGTCAGTGGCTCTCGTGGGGATGCCGTGGGCCCAGCAGAGAAGCAGGCCTGGTTGACTGGGAGCCCTGAAGCAACTCATTGAAGGCGGTGGAATAGCAAAGCAATTTATGTCAACAGACAGTGAAGCAGGACGGACAGCTGAAGCGGTGTCTGCTGTGTGGGGCTCTAGCCAACATTCTAGATCATTCTGTCAAGCCCTGGCTTCTGTGATCCACTAGCCACTCTGAGGAGAGAGATGGGGCTGTCCGCCCACAAAGGTTTAGGCTTGGCGACCCCTTGGGCAGCTCTGCTCTGGACTTAGGGTCGCTGTGGTGGGAACAGACTTTCAACAGAAAAGCAGAGGAACGAGAGCTCGGATTCGGATCGTTCACACATGTACTTAGAAGTCACGTGATGTGACCGGGCTTCAGTTTCCTCTGCAAGTCCAGGGGAGGGGGCTGAGGACCAGGCCTCCTGTCTTGACACCATTGTTCTGGTAGCCTTCAAGGCATGTGGTTACCCCAGGGGGGGGGATGTTTGTGTCCCAGCCTGCCCCTTCAAGGACCCTGGTCTGTCCCCTCCCAGAAGCCTTGCTTGGCTCCACCCTGTCCTGTCCACTGGGACCCTTGCATGGCCCAGGTGTGGCCTCTTTGTTAGGACCCTCCTGTGGCCCAGCCTTCCCTGTCCACCCCTGGCCCCTCACACAGCCCTGGCCTGGCCCCCCTGTGAGGACCCTCTGGCAGCCCAGTCTGCCCTGCCCAGCTTACCCTCGATGATCTCCTCTTTGACCCTGTGAAGCTCTCTGACCACTTCCTCCAGGATCTCCTGTGGGTGGGAGAGTGGCGCGGGTGACAAGTCGTGACAGGGACCCAGCTGCCGGAGTCTCAGGGCCCACCTTCAACCCCAGGAGGGCTCCCAGCTGTCTTCCCACGATGGGGGAAAGAGGCTATGGGACCTGCCACCCCCCTCCAGGTGAGGTTGGGGTCACCTGCCCAGGAGCCCACTCACTCCTGCCCTCTGCCCCCCATCCCCCGTGGAAGGGACCATGCTCACTTGCTTCAGCCGGTCAAAATCGAAGGCGTCCAGGGCCATGTCAGTCACGCTCCCGGCCGGCTTCATCCTGGGAGGAGGGAGGTGGTACAGGCTGCTGGGTGACATCGGAGGCAGCCTGTGCAGTGGGCCCTGCCCCTGCTCCACGGCTGAGCGCGTGTTCTGGCCACCTCCCCCTCCCCGGCTTCTGACCGCTGGTGACCTTCTGGATCCTTGGTGACTGCAGGATGGTCTGCAGCCCAGTCTGGGCCTCAGAGTGTCTCCCAGGAGATGTGACCCTATTTCCTAGCTCAGGACTCGATTGGGACTCAGGTCCCACAAGGAACCAATCTGATCTGAAATCCTGGACAGGCCCAGCCACCAGGGCCAGCAGGTGCCCCAGAAGAACACAGCGCCACACTGCTTGGTGGCTGCGGGAAGCCAGCAGTAATGGCAAAGCTGACGCCGGGCACACCTCCTCACGTGTCCACTCGGTGGGCTGCACTCCCTGGAAAAGTTCTGAGCACAGCTCACGTCTTGGCTGTGGGAATCATGGCAAAGTGCCAATCGAGCTCGCTTCCATGCTCAGTCTCCATTCTGGCATGGTGAGGGCGCGGTGAGAACATGAGGTGGTGGAGGGATGGTGAGCACATGGTGAGGGCGTGAGGACGTGGTGCGGATGGACATGAGGAAATGGTGAGGACGTGGTGGGATGGACGCAGAGAGGAAATGGTGGGGAAGGATGTGGTGGGATGCATGTGCTGGGGATGGATAGGACGTGGTGAAGGTGGAAGTGGTGGGATGGACCTGGTGGGGATGGACGCAGTGAGGACATAGTGGGAATGGACATAGTGGGAATGGACGTGCTGAGGATGTTGTAGGGATGGACACAGTGAGGATGTGATGAGAATGGATGCAGTGAGGGCATGGTGGCTATGGACATGGTGGGGAAGGACCCGGTGAGGATGCGGTAGGGATGGGCAGTGTGGGCGTGGTGGACATAGATATGGTGGGGATGGACGTGCTGAGGATATGGTAGGGATGGGCACAGGGAGGACATGGTGGATATGGACGTGGTGGGGAAGGACGCAGTGAGGATGTGACGCGGATGGGCATGGTGAGGACGGACCTGGTGCGGATGTGATGAGGGGAGTTGAGGGTGGCGGTCAGAGTCTGTGGTTTTAGGAAGTTGTGTGGCCTGTGATGGGACAGACAGGCTGTGGGGGTGCACCTGGCACCGCGGTGGGGTCCCCCTTGTGCGGCCGAGGTCATATCCCTGCTTGCAAGAAAGCAGGAAGGAGTAGGTGCTTCTGTTCCCTCCTGGGTGAGTGGAGATATGGCACGCAGGGGCCTGGCCGAGGTCCTCAGTGAGCTGGGCTCCATGAGTCATTAGATCCCACCGGGTCTTGGGTCCTTCACACCTTCCTCTGGGCCCTTGACTCTGGTCCAATGACAAACTGCCAGAACCTGGACTGCTGTGTCCACGGCTGGACGCTGACGACGACAGCAGCACCTTGGGGCCTTCTGTACTGCCACTGTGGGAAGGACCATCCCTACCCCCACTGAATCCTCTGGGAAATGAGGTCGACTCAGAGCTGGGGAGAGGCTGAGTGGGTCGGGAGTGCGGCAGGATCCCTGGGCGAGCGGGCTCCTCTCAGCTCCTGCCCACTGCAGCCCCTCCTCCTCACGGCACCAGCGAGCTCTCTAGAGCACCGCCCCTCACAAGACTGAACCCCTACTCCTCATTACCTCCTCCCCACCCTTCCCGAAGTTCCTGCTCCTCTGTTCTCTGGACCTGCAGTAAGCAGCTCTTGTCCCCACCACAGCCCCTCCAGGACGCAGCTCCGGGCTGCTGCGGGGAGGCCTGTGGCCCACGCCCCACACTAACCCCTCCTCAGAGCCCCTTCAGACAGGGCTAGCTGTCCTAGTCGGGGGAGAGGCCTTCCAGCCAACAAGCTCCTTGTAGGCAGGGACGGGCCCAGCTGCAGACAGTCCAGCCGGCCTCAGATCCACCTGAGCCTCGCCTCCTTTCACTCAAGACCAAGGCCAAGGACACCCTGTTCTGTGACAGCTGCTTCCTCCTTTTTGTGGGGACCATGGCGCCTTCCTGGTCCTGGCTCTCGACGGCTTCCTGGCTCTAGCAGCCTGGCCACACCTCCAGGGCGAGATTCATGCAAATGTCCCCCCCACTGTCTCCCCGGTGGTTTGGGTTGTGTGGTCAGAATATGCATGGGTAAGACTCCGTGCTGTGTGTGCTAGTGGGGCTCGCTGAGGAGTGGGGAGCTGCCCACAGCCAACCAGATGCTGAATGGGAAGGAGGCAGGTGCTGACAGACCTCACCTTCCAGGGCAGCACGGGGCCAGGTGAGGCCTCCTGCACGGCTCAGGGCCAGCAGTCTTGAGTCCAGGTCTCACCCAAGTCCCTCTGCCTGCCTCTGGGCAAGTCCTCTCCCCAGGCCCCAGCCTCCACCTTGGTCCGCACAGATAGGAGGAAGGAGCTGGCCCGCATGGCCCCAGGCCCTGCCAGCCCTGATGTTCCCCAGGTCTGAGAAGGACAAGCCCCCCTTTCCCAGAGCCAATGGTTAAATGACAAGACAGGAGACAGGGTGTGAGGTGTTAGTCCTGGGATGAGGGACAAAGATGTCCAGAGATGGGGGACACCTGGGGAGAGAGGGGTGTCGGTACCTAGAGTGAGGCTGAGACTGGAGGGGACTCTTAGCTTCGGGGCTCTTTGCCACAGACGGGGTTCTAAGGCAATGGAATGAAGCAGACATGTGAATTGGAGCCGCGCCTGCCCGCCTGCCCACCCGGAAGACGTGTGCAGCTCCCGGGCGCTCACCTGGACAGCAGGGAGGACATGGGCTTCTCCACCGAGTTGCTCCGCTCCCAGGGCTTCCGGCCGGGCTCTGGACCATGGCGGGAGGTGTCAGAGTGGGCAGCACTCCCACCCCTCCACACTCAAGCAGGGACCTCCACCCATCTGGCCACGGTGCTACAGCTCAGGTGCCCTCTGGGCCAAACCACGGCGCCCCAGAGGCCATTCCCTGGGAGGTGACCCATCTGATGTAGGACTGTCCCGAGAATTACCTCGCCCTTGACCTGAGTGCTTCTTCCTCGAGAGTCCTCTAACCTTCTGTCCCTCTGTGTCCCCCACCCCATGTCTCCTCATGTACCTGTGTCTCCCATGGGTAGGACTTGGGGGCAGTCCCTACAAACACAGGTCACAGCCTACAGGAGGCCTGGCCGGGAGGGAGGTGCCACAGTGGGTGCTGCCCAGGCAGGGCCTGGCCACAGGAAATAGCCGGCCAGTCCCCAGCACTGGCCAGCCAGTGCAGACACGGAGCCAGCATCCATGGAGTGACTTAGTGACCCCTCCCGGTCTCCCCTCACTGCAAAACCTCAGCTCTCCCATCACACCCCCTCACAGCCTGACCGGGAGAGATCTGAGAGGGACAGGCCATCTCTGCAACTGGCCAGCATTCGAGGTCTCAGAGGCAGAGGGCTTTCTGACAGGGATCACTCCTCCTGTGAGCACTGGCCCAGCTGGGAGCCGACAGCTTGCTACTCCACAGAGGACACGTGCCATGAGACAAGCCTGCCTCTGAGTGGGCCTGGGATGAGAACGAGAGGGCCAGGTCCCACCCCCCACCCCCCAGGGGACCCACCTAGCTCTCAAGCATTTGGTGGTCTCGCACGCCCCTCAGAGTCAGCCTGGGGCTCCTGCTGCCACCACGCGGCCTCTGATCTTCGATTAGGGGAGGGGCCCGGCTGGAGGACCAGTGACCTGGTCAGCCCCCCTCACCTGAGGTGCTGGCAGGCTGGCTGGCTGCCCGGGTCCCTGGAGATGGAGAGGTGCTGGGGTCTTCCTGGAATGGAAAGGAAGACTGGCACCAGCCAGCAGGACTGGGGCTTCGGGGCTCTCCTACTCACAGGGCCTCCCCTTCCCAAATGCTCTAGAACGTTCCTTGGGTAACATAACCGAAGAGGGAACCCTGAGTCCCAGCGAGGTCACCTCACTGTGGACAGCTGGGGCAGAGGTCAAGGAGGAGACATGGCCAGCAAAGACGGAGCCCTTGAGGTCGATTCACTCAGGGGGTGTGTGTGTTCTCCATGCTCCAGGGTGCCCACGGCCAGGGGAGCCTGCAGGCCCACAGGGCACTGGCCAGTGCTGGAGGAGGCGTGGCCACTAGAGGCGGCCTGGCTGTCTAGGTGAGGATGCCGAGTGGGCAAAGCCATTTCCTATAAACCTGAGCGGGAAGCCCTGGGCAGGGCCCATCCCAGGGGCTGGCTGGGGCATAGACGCCAATGCCGGCAGCAATGAGGGGTCGCTGGCTCACCAGCGTTTCTGCCGAAGTGTGAGCCTGCACCAGGGCCTGCTTCACCCGCCTGCGTGCAGCCTCCAGGGCCACCTGGTCACATAGGGACGGAGGGGGTTCACGGCAGACACAGCCACGAGAGCCAGGTGACCCGGCATGGCCCCGCTCTTGTACCTGGCACACTCCTGGCCTCCTCTGCGGCCTTGGGCATACACTTCTCTGTGTCCTTTGGGCAAGAGAAGGTGTCTCCCTCTGTTTATACACCTGCCCTTGTCTGGGTCTCATCAATTCACGGGGTCTTGGAGGGAAGCCCTTGGGCTGCCCTGCCCTTTTTGGGGTCAGCCTCGGCTATGAGAAGACTCATGGAAGACAAAGGAAGTGGGGATGTGACCAGCACTGGGATGAGGTGGCCGGGCGCCCACCCTCTGCCCTAGGGCCCATGGCTTCAAGGCGCTTCTCTCCCAGCTAGCTGGGCTGAGGTGGGAGCACAAATCTTTGTGCTGGGTGACCACACTCGGGCAGCACTGGCATTGTCAGACCACTCCGGAACAGCTGGCCTCTGCTGCTCAAAACCTCGTGAGGGCTCCTGGGCAAAGAAGCCCCCGGACGTGCAATAGCAAGGGCAGTCCTGCCCGAGTGGGTGCTGGGCACTGGACACAGGAGGAGGGGCCACCCATTAGAGGGTGAAGACGCTGCCCGAGTGGGTGCTGGGCGCTGGACACAGGAGGAGGGGCCACCCATTAGAGGGTAGGGTGAAGACTCTGTTGCGGTCTCTGCAACCCTAGTCCCCGGCGAGGCTGTGGTCGCCCGTCAGGACGGCACGTGAATGAGCCGCCACGGTGGGTGCCGTGCACGGCTGAGCAGGGGGGCGTCCCTTCTGCCCTCCAGAGAAGGGACTCAGAAAGCAGCGCTGAGACAGCCCCACCAGGGTTGGGGAAATGCGAGTGGGTATCTGGCAGCCCCCCAAGCAGCACCTTCCTGGGGGTCTGGCCCCTGGAGGCAGGGCTGGTGCAGCTCCGCTGGGGTGGGGAGATGCAGGTGGGTGGCCGGTGGCCCCGCCCAGCACCTTCCTGGGGGCCCGGCCGAGGCTACTCACCGTTTGGCTCTCGTCTTCCTTTCTATCTGTGGGCTTGTCGGTCTGGGAAGCAGCTTTCCTCCTGGACACAGGAAAGAAACACAATAGGGCAGCGCCTCAAGCTCTGAGCGCCGAGCCGGACGCCGCCTCCGTCCCCAGGTAACCCTGGGACATGGGATCTGGTCCCGGGTCCAGGTAAGGCCAGGCCAGCTCAGGGGCCTGGCTCTGGACTCATGGGATGTGAATGGGTCCCAGGACACGGGTGGCTCCTCATCTACGGTGAAGAATGCTCGGGGCCTGGTCACGTGGGACAGCAGGGGCATGGTGGGCCTGGGGAGCTGACCTCTGCATGCTGATGGGGCTGCATCAACAGATCCCCTGCCCAGTGGAAGGAGAGCTCTTCCCTTAGAGACCCTCAGTCTGAACCACCACCATGAACCTGGACGTACCCAGAAGGGATAGGTTTGGACGAACCTGGCCTATGCTTGTAGTCAAACAGGAAGGGCCTGTTGGTGTGGTTGTTAACCAAAGGCCAGTGGCTCTAACCCAGCAGTACACCTTGGGAGAAGGACGAGGAACTCTACTTCCGTGAAGGCCACCACCTTAGACACCCAGTGGGTGTCCACTCCGTCCTGCAGGGCTTCTGTGGGTGAGCGTCAATGCGATGGCAGCCAGCCTGGTTTCTGTTTACTGTCAACCAGGCGTACACTCATTCCCTTTACAAACACGTCTGCTTCGTGTGCCTCATCTAACTAACTCCCAGGATCCCCTTCGCTGGTGAGCACGTCCTCTCATGAGTTCAGGAGGTGTGCGGTCCAGCAGGGGGACCAGGCCATCACTAGCTGCACGGGCTCATGACAGGCCCCCACCGCAGCCTCCTCGGTCACACTCTGGCCGTCTCTCTGACACCCTGTCTCATGAAGGGGTGCCCTGCTGACCTGGCTGGCTGCAGTCCCCTACTAACCCCTCCCCTCTCTGCCAGCAAGCTCAGGCTGGACCACAGTGAGGTGAGCAGGTTACTCTGCTCTGAGGACAGGAAGTGCAGTGGGCTTTTGTGAAAGTCACATGGGTACCCCGACTCCCTCCCGAGTTCACAGTGGTGAGTGAGGCCCTATGGTGTGGCCTCAGAGGGGGCAGCTGAGTGCCACACTAGGACATCTTGGCACCTCTGTCCAATGGGCTTCAAAGGACTCCCAGGGGTGCGGCTTTGGAGGGGGGCACTAGCGTGCCACACTGTGATGCCTTGTCATCTCTGCCCAGCAGGCTTTGAAGAGCGGCTTGAAAGTGGCCACTCCTGGTCAGCTAGGCGTCCACGCCATCGGGGTGTCTCTGGGAAGCTCGACCTTTTCTGCCCTTGGAGAGAAAGCAGCCTCCCACCAGCGGGTCTAACGCACCCACCACCAAGGTGCTGCTACGACCTCGCTGGCTTGGGACCTGGGTACTTTCATACTTTTACTGAAGCCTCCAGTCAATAAGGGCTCTGAGATGGAACTCCACACCACGACACAAAGCTAAGCACATCTACTGGTCCAGAAGCAAGGAGCTGCACTGCCACTCGGAGGCATGTGGTTCAAATCTACCAGGCCCTCTGAAAGATGAAGACGGGAATTACCGTGGAGTCTGTCCAAGGACCCTGTGTCCCTCCTCACAACACTGACCACGGA